CGCCCATAATGATTCCATCATTAAATGCAGGCCACACATCAGCAATCTTCACTGATGCTGTGTCAACAGTTACAACCCCCGTAACTGGTCACCCTACCTTTGAAGACGTAAACGTTCTACTAAATCGCTTCCTAGATTCCACCATTAAACCATGGGTGCAAGATGCAATGACCGCTCTAGCACAGGAATTTAGGACCACCCAAGCGGTTCGGTCTGAACAGACACCACCCCAACCTTCCCCTGAACCGTTCATCTCCCATACACAACCCATATCCTCCACCCCTCTATCCCACAAATCCATAAACCAAATTCCCATCCCTTCTATTTCTCGGGGAACCCAGAATACAGAACCAGTATTCTCCCCACACCCGACCACACCCTACATCGATCTCTCCTCCCTATCCTTTGACACACTAGCTTCGGCTTTGCTGAACAATCTCTTAAATACCCCAGAAGACAACCTCACTCTTCATCAGCAAGCCATACTAGAAGCTCTTCTTTCCTCACCCGAAACCAAGAGTACTTGCAAGGAGAGTCTTCGTGGTCACAAACGTTCCCATGAGGACCCCGATGATTCGGATCCTCATGAGGGGGAGAACAAGCGACCTCGATCACTTGAGCAAACTACTCTCCCAAGCCAAACTCCACAACCAATTCAACCTGAAACCTCAACAAACCAACAGCCACCATCCACAGCCAAACTATCTAGCATGGTCGAGCTAGAAATAACATCCCGAGGCGTATCTCCCAGAGATACCAACCGAGGAGGGGATGGAAGTCCTGATGATGTTACCACCGGTACATCTTCTCCATCAGGCCATCAGGTGGAACCCAGTTCTAAGCTGATGTCAACGGGCAATCCTAGTGAACCCGGTAGTGCTACACAGGAACAATCACCGCCTGAACAAAGAACTCCGTATATTTCCCCAGGCAAAGACATCCATGATGCACTGGAAGAGGCGGTGATATACGACAAATGGCCGAGAAAATGGACAGGATGGGATGATCTCCGGGTTGAAGCCGAGCAAGAAGATATGCAAAGAAACTGGTGGCTACGAGAGCTTATCAACAAATGCTCTGAAGATATTATACGGCTCGAGGACGATGAACGCAAGGAAGGGGAGAATTATAAGGAATCCCAGAAGACTCTTGAATCAGTCGTAAGACAAACAGCGGGAAGACTTCCCAAGACAGAGAAACCCTGTGATAATGTTCGTATCAAAGCCCCCTTCCAAGAAGAAATCAGAGAGCATATCTGGCGTAGACCAGACAAAGTCAAGCCACTGAACGAACTGAAGCTAAGAGGCCTTACTCACTTGAAAGGAAAGCAGGCTGGAGGTCATCTGCATATGTTGCTGCAAAGGTCAACCGGTACACAGAGAGAACTAATGGAACAAGATCTGAAGTCGAATATTCTCCCGATTCATCAAATTCTACAAGTGAAGGCTGAAGACTATCATGAAGTAACATTCTACACTTTCAAACTTCAACGCACCGATGGGAGCGAATTCACTTGTCAAGAGAACGACTTCATCATGCTGAAACCGGATGACATCTACCAAATGCTCATGGCCTACAGATACCTTCCAGTCAGGCAGAGCATAGTATACAGCGAAGGCCTCGCAGCTATCAAGAGATTCATGCTTAGACAGATCAGAGTACACTCTTCACATGACCTACAGATGGCTATTGAATGCAATCTGAAGAAGACAAATCTGACGAAGCCAAAACTGTATGGTCCAGAACTTGAAGATTTCCCAGCCTACCACATCTTCTTCAAACCGCCAGCAGTCACCTATCTGAACCACAAGAACGAAAAGCGTCTGATGGTAGTCAGTGAAATCGAGAAGTACTGTGACGGAACACTGAAGATAATCAGAGAGCAGATTCTACAGATGAAGGCAAAGCTAGAGGAAAATCTTCAAGAGGCATCGTCTTATGTTCAAAAGGAACACTCTACTGTAGAGACAATTTTAAAGGCCATTGACGATCGCCTCGAAAAGAGAAATATGCTGAGGCAGTATGAACATGCACTTGGATTGAGAAAGCACTACTTCAAATCACAGAAGCAACAAGAGAATGGCACTTGATCACAAAGGGGGAGATTGTTGGAGATATTTAATTGTGAATCAAGTTGGTCATAGATTAGCTTTATATTTAATCCTTGTATTTAAATAGTGCATAAATTAGATAGAAATCAGGCCAAGTGTTAGGCCCATTTAAACAGGCCAAAAGCCTGATACGCCTAACCTAAACCTCGCCTATAAAAAGGGAGCCGAGGTTTAGGAAAAGGCTGAACGTCGTACTTATTATTCATAGCCTTACGCTTATCATTCTGCTGTACGTTCCACGGTTTATCAAAGAAGGTTTTACGGTGATTCATTCTGTGTTCATCTTTAACGTTTAATCTTCCTTGTTAGATCGATTATTCATTGCTGTTACAGAAACAGGGACTAACACTTCTGCTCGGTGTGGTACCTCACAGGATGTGCCCTTGTTTGTGTCATCCGTAATGAAGTCGACATCATTCCGCCTCCTCACTTCTTTCGATTGAACGACTTGATCCTCCTCGAGGTCCAGCCATTCCTCAGAGTCCACTTATTTTGCTAGTAGTTAGACGAGGTCGACATCGTACTAACAATTCAGGATTGGAGTTTGAGATTTTGTGAGGATATAAAACCTACCTAGCTAAAAACTATATCAATCCTCACAAAAGCTAAATATATATAAAAAAAGAGGAGGGTTTGATGAACAACTCACTTTGAAGATGTGAAGAACAGTATGAACTATTCCTCTCTCTAGAAATGGGCAACACCTAGTCTCAATTTCAAAAGCGTGAAAGTTCAAATGACCAGAAAATATGGCTATATATAGCGGGCGTAATGATTACCTTCTAATGGTAGGGACATGCATCACTCAGGTGCCACCCTCGATCTAATTGAGGCGTCTGCAACTATTACAACTATTCAAGACATGAAACACCATTCAAGACATGAAAACGTATCACTCCTATTAGCAAACCTCGGGACACGATGGGCTCTTTTGCCACACCATAACACATGTAACAAAGAAAATATTAGGCCCCTTGACCATATATCCCAACATCTCAACACAAACAAGTCAAACCTAGTCCTCAGCCTCACATCTCACTTCAAACAGCAAAACTCAACACCTATATCTCACCACAAATGAGTCATAGGCCCTTTGGCTACACTAGCACTAACCCCACAAGAATAAGCTAACTAGCCCCTTGCTTAGGCCCAGGCTTGCCAATGAGATCATATCATCAATCAAAAAATTGGTAGGATGCCTCATCCCACACAATAAAGTCTACTGCTCAAGACGAAAACAAGCTTATCCTAGCTGTAGGAGTGGGGGACCGGGGGACTACATCACACCATCAACCATACGATAAGAACACCACAATGATGTTTAAGGCTATATTCCCTTTCGTCTCAATCGTCCCCCGATGAAGGAAGTGGGGAACTCCTGATGGAGTATATGACCTTGGACCCAGAACCCATAGACTCACAAGACATTCTGGACCGGTCCAACAAGCAACATCCAGCGTCCTCGGCTAGGCCTCCGGAAAGACAAAGGGTACTATTGCTCTTAACAACCTAGAACGTCCACACGAGGATCAAGCATGACTCGAATGATCACCTTCATCCACCATCTCCTAAATCATGAACCCCCAACCTGTGAAGTTATGCCTCGATGCATTAGCAAGACTAAGTTATCCGTGCGCCCCTTCATCTACTTACGGATGAGGGCATCGAGCCCCTTGGTCACCACAAAACAGACATAAGCAACATCATATGACCTCTTTTCATATGCTACGAAGTTTCGTCCATATACTACCCAAAACACATACTAACATTTAATGTGCTTGACATTTATTACTACTAGAAATAGTCCCAAATTTGAAAAATCTAAGGGTTCAAAAATCATTTGTTACAAAATATCTCTATCTATAATACTAGATCAGTTTTCTCTCTAAAATACCACTAGTGAAATACCAATATAACTATATTAACGGATTACTTGTATAACTATCAATTACATCTATTATAATTGTAAGTAAAACTATTATTTTCAGCTGTGTGCGCCACACAACCACCATCAACACACCGCGTCGCCAACACAATGTCAATTACTTCTACCCACCATCACTATTGAGAACCTAAACAAAACATACATTGTTTGTTACCTCATCCTTCATCTATTAGTTATCTCAACTCACAATCGTTAGGGACGACCAAATCTCAAAACCTTTTAGTAATCCTCGGACACCCCAACCCATCTTTCGCCACTTTCCACCTGGCCACTCGATCCCAAAGTTCATCAGTCACTCAATAAAGAAGTCATATATGCCTCCTTAAATCTATTAGTAATTTATATCAATCCCATTATATCCAAAACCACAATTTGTTACTCCATATATGTTTATCTTGAGGAGCTCCACTAGCAATATACACTTCATTTTTTAAAATCACTTGCATGAACTCTAAATTTTGTACTACTAGTAATATTCTTGATCGCTGTTTTTATTTTTAGTTGATATTGATATAGATATACTCTGTATAAATAAATATATGTTTGGTAGCTTTTCATGTGTTAAATAAATACATAACCTAAATAAACTTGAGAGAATTGAGAATAACTTAATAGCTTCTATTTTACTTTTTTTTATGTATAGAGCATTTATGTAGTTGACATCATCGACTATATTATGTCTTTACTTACTGCATTTTTCTTAAGAGATCATTTAATTAGATTATATCTGATGTAGGCAAAAGTATGATACGAAGTAAAAAATTAACCATACTTACATATTTTCTTCATTCTATAATAATTACAACAGTTTCACTTTTGTACAATTCACTTTGACCAAAATCTTTTACTAATATATTTAATCAAATTATTATGCAATTAAACATAACTACAATTTTTTCTATTAATAAAACTGTGCTAACTGAAAAAGAATGAAGGTAATACTCCAAATATTCTTTCTTCATCCATGCGATATACTAGTACTGGTACATTAAAAATCAGAAGTAGAAACGAACAACACATTAGACAGACCATCTCACGCGAAGGTCGTACACTGTCTCTCTCCAACTTACCGTTAAAAATAACTTATTTATATAATCTCGTCGGCGGGGAAGTATAATCTCCCGGAGAAAGAGCGACAGGCGCAATAAATCCCCCGGTTAAACCGCATTACATTAAAAGTCTCGACGACCGTTGACGCCTCGCTATCTTTCGTTTATATTTCATTTTCTTGCCGTAATTTCCAACGCTCCTCCTCCTATTCCTCCTCTTTCTCTCTCAACCGCACTCAAAGTTTTGGGCCTGGAACTGAAGAGACATTCTCCGTATCGAGCTTTTAGCAAAAGGTACGCCTGTTTCCTTTTTGTTCCAAGAGATTGGCAGTACTACGAAGGTTTTGGAGTTTTAAATTGGGTTTGGTTGCTTTTGATCTGGAAATGATGGGTTTCTATTCTTGAATTATTTGAACTCTTCAAGTTTCTCCCTTTCAGCAGTTTAAATTTTTGGTTAGTTATACCTTTGCTTGATTATTGGTGGGAATTTACATATCTTCATGCATTTCTATGCTTTTCTCTGGATGCAGTCATTCCAAGTGGATGTAGTTTTCTTGAATCATGGCTGTTGCCGGCTTACATAACGTTTCTGCATTTGACCATTCTGCCCTTGGTGAATCTCGGGCATCCACTGTTCTGCAAATATGGAGGGAGATGGAACATATGGGGAGTGATACCCCCACCAGATCTGGAGATAGAAATGGCATGCTAATGAGTGAATATGAAAATTGCAACAGGAAATATGAGCCCATTGATCTTGCGGAGATTGAAAGGCAAAGAGTCAGACAAGTGTTTCTAGAGTGGATGACTAATGGTGCAAAGATCCATACACTGAAGCCAATCAAGGGACAGTTAAGAGAAGGGTGTTTTGAAAATGGAGAGTGCCCGAGAAGCAATGGCTTAAGAAAACTATGTGGCAGACAGGCTCTTATTGATTTACTGCTGAAGGCTCAGATGCAGCGGAAAAGAGAACTTCAATGTTTGATGGAGGCCCGACTTGTTACGGAATTTGCTCATCGTAAGCGCATCGAGGTTTGTTCTTACCACTATAGTCTGCTATCCCTTTTTTCTTTTGAGTGATGAAATAATTGCTATGATTCATAGAGTAGGGGAAAAGGAAGGAATTAAATTAAATTAAATTAAATAAAAGGAAAAATCAAACTTGATTCATGAAAAAACAGGAGGATGTGGGTAAAGAAGAAGAAATACATGGTAAAAAGTAAAAACTGCTAAGCAACTGCCTATAGAATTTGTTCCATACTTGCTTGTATGATATTTAATATGGAGTAATTGCTAGGGTGTTCTGTTGTTAGAGAGGTCAAACCCGCAAACACATATGTTGTGTGATATTTAATAATTGCTTATTTTAGCTTCAAGTAATGCTAAGTAATGCTGGATTTTGCTTCTAGTAATGCTTAAGTTCCTTGCAGTCACTGCATAAAGGTAGATTCTTGCATGATGAAAGATTGACGTGGGGTGAAAGAGTTGCTTCAGTTGCAGCAAGTGAACTAGGTCTTCTGAGACAAAGGCAAACTGTATCCTGTTTGAGGTAAATCAAGGGATTGATATGCGTATTCCTTTAGCAGGCTGTATTTTAACTGTCCAAGTAAATACTACCCCCGTCCCAAAAATAGACACATGTTTGACCAATGTACAACTTTCATAAATCAGGAGCTACACATAATTTTTTTTAAATCTATTAGTTGATCAAGTTGTTAGCAATCTTATAGCGTTCAACATCTTTTAGGTAATGTTTTAAAAATTTGAATGAAAAATTACGTGTTGGACCAATGCACAACCTATGAATTTTGGCAATGTATATATTTCATCAATCATGAATTACTCATATTCTTTTTAAATTTAGTAGTTGGATTAACTAAGCTTATCTTATGCGACTTTTGAACTTGTCTATTGGCTCTTTTTAGTTATTATTTTTAAAAAGAAAATTAGCCTCAATTGATCAAACTGTACTCTATTCTTGCCTGCGATTCTTTTTATTTTTTTTGGGCTGAAGGAGTAGAACTATTCCTTGTAACTGGAATTCCTTCCAGGTAACCCCCCTAAGATATAACAAACTTCTTTTATGAAACAGGGAAGAATTTTCCAGGATGGACCATAATAATCATGGTCACTTGTTCGGTATTCTATCAAAGGACTCTTCTAATGTTGAACATCATGTTCTTGCAAAGGTAAACTCTCAACGGAACATTGGACTAGAGGTTGCCAATGATTTGCATAGACAATCTGAGCTTGCAATCATTGCATATGATATTCCAGAGGGGACAGTTGGGGAATCAAATCATCATGAAACTTTACAAACTGCCGAAACACCAGAGCAACACTTAGAATGTGAAAACAGACAAGAAGAGGCATTATCTATACCTGATTCAGGCGCTATTGAAAGTTCACACGATATTGTTGCAATGGAGGATGATGAAGGTCAAATCACAGAAGATCACGATGCTTTTGATGAGTATCATGACCAAAGTGGCGAGTCTAATGATCACAGAACTTATGGTGGGATGGATGATTGGGAAGAAAACTCGATTGACAGTTTAGACTGGCAAGGAAATGTTTATTGCACAGAGCTAAGAGAACTACTCAGCAGGTATTCTTTAACGAATTTAACAAGTTCTTATTTAATGTTTCATGATAATTGAAAGTATATAATTCATTTGGTTATACAGGAGACATGTTTCTAATCTACTGCTAAGTGGTTTCCGTGAGAGATTAGACCGGGTGATGCAATCTTATGTGGAGAGGCAAGGGATGGCTTCTTTTGACTCGGCAATGGATGGGTCAACATCCTCCTTTGGTTCTATTGACCATGGTCAACATCAGGAAAATTCTGATCAGGATGATGGTCACACAAATGATATAGAGAGAAATCACTTTCCCTTGTCTTCTCGAGGTTCTATATCTCTGCCTCTTTGGGGCCAGGAGTTGCAGCACAGCCAGCACTCAAATATGATTTGCCTGAACCTTCATCCATGTCCAGAAATGGTGTGTTCATATTCTTGACTCTTGTGTATCCCCAATGCTTTCTCCCAACTAAAAGTCCATTATCTGGCTTTATTTCTGTGCTGCATTCAATCTTTTTGGGATCTCTGTGGTTGATCAGACTTGATTGAAGTGCTTAATCCACCATTCCTATGTAATGAGGCTTGAACCTTTTCCTTGTGATCTCATTTCTATACAGATAACAAAAAATAATTTGCGCTAGAGCCTACCTCCACAAAATTAGTCTTGTTTCATCTAAGTGCATCTTTTTTAGTTAGATACAAGTATTAAAACTCATAGGTTCTAGCTATATTGTTGGTGTAGCTATATTGAACATAATAAACTGGTTTGACACTAAAAATTACGTAATACATTAATTGTAATGGAATATAGCTTCTTTTGTCAATTAGGACTTGTTTTTCATGGAAATTAGTATGGTTTCAAGTAGAACTCTGTTTGGGATGCATGGGATATTTTACTCCACTTATGGACGTCTGTTTCGAAATGAAGGTTAAACTTTATTACTTATGGAGAATATTTACCACTTGTAGGACTGGGAAATCATAAACGAGTTGAGGATTGACATGGATAGGCTTCAACAGCAGATGAACAGTATGCAGAGGATGCTAGAATCATGCATGGACATGCAATTTGAATTGCATCACTCAGTACAGCATGAAGTTTTTGCGGCTTTACACAGAGATTCTGATTCAAAAGGTGAATGAGGAAATGATTCTTTATTCTTTGCTTTCCGTTTGCATGGGAGAATTAGCTATTTTCAAAATTTGTTTTAATTGTAAAACTACATTTTATTTTGCTTTTGAGTTGAATTTCTAATTTTTTATTTGTACTTTTTTATAGTTTCATTTATTTATAAAAATGAACTATGACTGACCATGATGCAATTTCAACAGATACATGTGAAAGCAGACTTTTGAATGAAGATTCCAAGTGGGATTGCGTGAGAAAAGGAATTTGCTGCATATGTTGTACACAGAGAATAGATTCGTTGCTCTACAGGTAAGGAACCGAAACCCTGTTATTCTATTACTCCTTAGGAATAATAGAAACTGTGTAATTGTGATCCCACTTTTAAGATTCTAAAAATCAGGAATCAGAGGATTCCCAGTTTTCATCAAATCCTAAAATTGGGGGCAGCAGTTTCATAGTTTATGACAGCCTGTGTTTTGTTTTTCGGTAATTATTTAGATTTTATGAAACTTTGAGGTTTCAATGTTTTTTCTACAAACAGGGATTTTTTGGTGGAAATTAGTGTCTATGTATGATGTTTTTTATGATTTTTATTTCATTGCAGTGTTGTCTTTGTGATATTTCATAGCACTGTGTGCTGGAAATGTATTGTATTTTATATTTAATCATGGTACTAGTATAATAATTTCTATATTTGAACACACATACTATTTTCAACAAAGTGGTATAAAAAAATATGTATATGTGCATATGAAAATAACTACATGATCTTTTTGGTAAATATATCTTTAATATTTATGTAGTTCCCTGTTTCTTATTCTACATTTTGTAGAAAGTTTTTATTTCATGTTACAGTGGTACTTAGATATTAAATCAATGAGAGTTGCTTGGTGTCCACTATTTTTTGTACACGTTTTCGTACATTGTCTATGCACACGGACAACTTCTGCACTTTTTAAACCCATTGCTTGTGTACACAGACAAAATAGGGAGATGCACAAAAAGTTTTAAAAAAGCATGTTCCAACTAATTTTTCCTAAATCAATTTTGACCACCAATCAGTCCAAACAAGGCTACTTATTTCCATTCAAGGATTTCAAAGTACACTATTATTTTTTCTCTATAGGTGTGGCCACATGTGCACTTGTATAAAATGCTCAGAGAAACTGGTCCAGTGGAATGGAAAGTGCCCAATGTGTCAGGCGCCATTATCTGAGATGATCCGCTCTTGCCCTACACAATAATTGAAATATCATTGGAAGGGAAAAAGCTCTGATCCTGCAGCCTTTCCTGGTTAATGTCAAAGAAATTGAGTATAAGCTAATGACAGGGAAAAAGCTCTAATCTTGCAGCCCTTCCTGGTCAATGTCAAAGTAATACAGGCTAATGAAAGCAAAAAGGTCTGAAGCTGCAGCCTTCCTGGTAAATGTCAAAGTAAATTAAGCCAAGGAAGGGGAAAAGCTCTTTTTTTAGCAACTGTTAATTTCTTTTGGAGTGAGGGTCAGGTATGGGCTACAAAGAGCCAAACCAAACCTGGCTCTCACTCACTCATTTAAAAATTTTCTTATACACAGAAAACTTACATTATTATAGTCATGGAAGAATGGTCAATATAGTAACAATGAATAATGGAATGAGCTCTGTTTTCAACTCAACCTTGACCTCACTTACACAGAAGTCCAAGGTTTTATGATGGCTTGTAACAGTTTACTGCCTGGGTGACTGGGTGTGCATAGTGCACTTGAATAACATGCATGTATTGAAGATGCTCAAACTCAAAGTAGTCTGAAATATGTATATGGTCATTTCCTAACATGTTGCCTCTTTTTCCTCTATCTAATAAATTTATCATCATTAACCATTGAATTGACACATTTGATGTATTTACATATTTCACGGGGGTTAGAAATGCCGCTGGTTTTAACCAGCGATAGGTGCGCCTCGGTTAATGCGTCATTAGCTGCATGGGCGGTCATTTGACTCATTTCCAGTCTAAAAGATTGTTTACATATGAATAGATTGGATGAATGTTTTCTGTACTCTTTAGAGACATGATCCGTTCGATATTCAAACAAAATCTAGCTTTAATTGGATGTTACCAAAGCTGTTGCTAAGCTAAGACAAAGTGGTACGTTTTATTGGGTGAGCAAAGAAAATCATATGGATTTGAATATTTGATGAACTAAATTAGACTTGGAAGTTTGATCTGTTAATAATATCTCAAAGGCATATTTTAAGCGTAAATTTCTCTTATTCTTGAAGTATGGGGAATCAACTTTCTCCTCTTTAAGTTTTGAACAATCTACCATCATGTTATACTGTTCGGAGACTTTACGTACACCCCCGGTAAAGGAATAAACGGCCTTTTTTAGGTAAGAAACCTCAAATATTAATAATCAAGTCATGATTTAAAAGATATCACAAAAAAGTCATGCTTTAAAAGATAAATGTTGAATTCAGCATTCAGATTAAGGGTCCATTTGGTAATTTTCATTTTCCAGCTTATCCGTTTTATTCATCATTTTTTACTAAACAACTAACTTTTGATTTTGTACACTCAGCTCGTTTGATAACATTGAAATTGACTGAATTGGTTGATTCTGTTGATATTTATGAATTTCTTGTTGAAGTGGTTGTATTGGATGATTCTTCTGTTTTATGAAAAAAATTATATTTAAAATATATTTTATTAATAAAAAAAGAAAAATATATATAAAAAATACGAAAATGATCCTCTACAATAATTTCAGCCAATATAGCTATAAAACTAATGTTAACCTTAATTTTTCTTATTATTACACAATTCAAGGTGTGAAATAAAAAACTTCGTGTTTGGTGAAAAGTTGTCTGATAAGCATGATAAGTCGAAAAACAGGCTCACCAAACGGACTCTAAAATCTACGTAGTATAATAATCAAAATAAGTAAGATCGAACTTACTTTATTAATTGAATTGTTTGAAGTAACATGACTTGCACAACATTTAATCTAAAAAACAAATCCTAATAAATAGGGGTTTCTTTCAAAAAATAAAAATAAATGTGGTTTAATGTGTCAAATTTGCTTGTCATATACTCCATCACTTCCTTAAACTTTACCAAATTTGGTTGACATGAAGAATAATAATTAAGTAAAACCGTGTGATTGAAATTTATGCAGAGAAATATAGAAATAATAGTACTCACAAATTAATTGATTAAAAAGAAAAGTGATAATTTTTTTGGGATGAAGGAAATATAAATATAGCGCATGAGCTAATTGTGGTTTAAAAAGTGGATCACCTCATGTTATAAACTTATAAATAATCATGCATATAATCCCTAAAGGAATAAATTTAATTGTCGGATAAAGACAAAGTGATTAGTATTTTTGTATGGTTTAGATATTGTGACAAATTTATTTTTTCAATCTTAAAGACTAAAACAAGTAATTTTTAAATTGCTAAACTATTAATTCATTTTGTTTGCATGATTGATTATAACACAGGGAATTTGACGCTTTTTTTAATAACAAGTGACTGATGTGTACATCACAAGGGATCGACACATTAAACCCATTAGTAAATTAGAAATTGCTCAAAATATAAGTACAATATAGGAAAACTTCTAAAATGGGAGTACATATGTTTTCTTCCCATAATAGGACTTATTTGGTGATTTTGGTCCTCCCTGTTTAAAGAATAAAAAAAGTATAAACTTCTTTGAATAGAAGTACTTGAATCCCATTTTGAGAATAAAATAATAATACTTATTTGAGAAAATGTGCTATATTTTACTCAAAATTTTGCACGTACTGAAGCCATTTTTAAAATAATAATCCCTAACGGTATTATTTTCTCCCTTTCCCATATTTTTGAAAAATGGGATTTATTTTGAATGAATAAATCAAGTTTATTAATATTCTCTTATATAAGTAAAGTTAGAAGTCTTATTTATAATGTTTTCGTTATGAAACGGATGAAAATTGACAAAGATTTAGGATGTGAAATTATTCTAATTTCGCTCTCAATAGAGTTGTTTAATGGTGTGTTTACAATGAAGGAAAAAATCTTCTATTTATAGGTATAACAAATGATCAACTCAAGATGAAATGACTATAGTTATTAGCCAAACAATCATTATCTTTTTTATAGAAGAAAGTGTCTTTTATTGTGATGAAATTAGTGTTCAGGTGTGTAACAAATAGACAACGAGTCACTTCCCAATCACTAGCCCGTGAACTAAACCTAGAGTTTATCACCTTCACAAAAGTAATGAAACTCGTTGATCTTATAATGGACACATCTAAGCTGACAGTGATCAGAAAAAAAACCATCACCCAGCCGACTCTTCAATGTCCTAAAAAACAATAGCATATAGAGTTTTAGTCAAAAAGCAAACAAATAAAAGTAAACAAAATAAATGTTTCCTCCACGGAATACTCCAAATCCGCAGCTCGTAAGAAAAGAACGCCTCACATACCTTGGGTCCTGGGCCCGCCTCCCTCCCGTTTTTTGGATCGCTGAGTGCCATCTCCTCACCTGCCTTGTCCTCTCCCGCATGTATTTCCCAAGTTCTCCTCCTCTTATGGTCCCATGTGATTATAACAACTGAAGAATCCGCTCCTGCACCCAACTCCCGCAACATCAAGCCTTGTTGCACTAGAATTACCAACATCAAGCTCCTCTTTTGCTTGTGTTTCCTTATTACCTCCAGTTGGGATAAAACTCCCCACTCCATGCCTGATCCCTGCTCCGAAATGTTTAACTAATTTCTATGCCCCTTTTTCATATTCCATCGGATAGTATCTCTCAGCATGACCCATAATCCCACAAATATAACAGAAACTTGATAGTTTTTCATATTTAAAGTCCAACCAGAACTTCCAATTACCCTTTCGAAGTTTAGTCCTTTTGTTGAGAGGTTTGCCTATATCTAAGTTGATTCTAATTCTCAAGTAAGCACTGCAACTATCTTCAAGCTGATTTTCATCCATTTTAACAAATTTACCTAAGAAATCATCAATCTTCCGAGCCGCCTCTAGGTTCATAAAACCATAAGGCACATTATGCACATGAATCGAAAAATATGTCGTGGTCAGGGAACCCTAAGAGAGATATCCCCTGACTTGATCTCATACAAAACTAGCAAATTTTGTTCAAAAATTCATGGTCCATTTCAAGGACTCGCTTCATATTCACTATATAATAAAAGGTAAACAACTATTTGCATTCACTAATTCCTTATGATCAAAACACCTCTGCCAGTCTGCCATATTGAGGCCATAACCTCCTTCATCTGATGCAGGACGCAGGAAGATGCTCATGTGATGAAGAAAGAGATCTTCGAGAGTTCTAGCATATTCTAAAATGTAAATAGAGATAGGGAAGAGAATGTAATGATCAGAAGAGAATGAATGATATTTCTTATTCATTATGAGATGTTAAACTTTACATTTATAGTAATGATCGTATTTGACTTAACAAACTAAGTCAAAACAGAATATAACCAACTCTAACCGATCAACTAACCATTATTAATATGCAGCTATATCATACTACCCCCCTTAAGCACTGACTTGTCCTCAAGTTTGGATAACAAAGTCTGGATATTGTGCTGCAAAGTTTGAAGCATCCTCCCATGAAGCTTCACTAGCAGGAAAACCTTCCCATTGCACTAAGTATTGTGGTGCTTTCCACATTCTGCCAATGTACAGGAATATGTGGGGCCATAGCTAGAACTCCTCTAAACCCTTTAAGCTGTGAGACATGAAAAACATTATGAATCTTAGCTGAATCTGGTAATTTCAGCTTATATGCCACCTTCCCAATCCTAGCTTCCACGTGAAAAGGACCAAAATACTTGTGAGATAGTTTCTGATTTGGTCTATTATGCACAATTTGTTGTCTATATGACTGAAGCTTGAGCCAAACCCAATCTCCAATAGCAAAGCTTCTTCCTGTCCTTCTTTTGTCTACTAGGTTCTTCATTCTGTTTTGAGCCTTGAGAAGTTGTAACTTCATATTAGCAATCGTGTTTTCTATTGTTTTATATTTTTTTATTTCAACTTTTAAACCAAATGGTCGATTATTTGCAATAATTTCTATTCGAGCATGAGGCAGGAGAAGTTATAGCTGAAATATGTGACTTTGTTACTTTCTAAGTCTGTGAAAGCATCAACCATATGATTTGTTACATTTTGTAAATGAATTATCTTTTGAAGTTTTTGTTCACAAGTATTTGTGAGTGAACCATGATAAGATAAACTTGTTGTATTTCAGGTAATATCTAATTTACATGGATCCACTTCTCAATTGTTCGCCTAAGGCTGTGAATACTGTAATAATGTGTGATCTAGGGCTACTGTATAATTTCCATAACTCTATTATATTGTAAATATGATGCTACGGCACCCAATAGGGTAAGCCATTATTTCCCAAAATTATTGTTTTGTATATGGTATTAGTCGCTTAGGGATTTTTCGATCCTCCTCTCTCCATGGCCGACGTTACTACGTCCACCACCACAGCGGTCACGATGCCTGTCAACCCGATGCAGCCGCCGCCTGTCTCCACTTTATCTTCGGCCTCAATGACGTTCACCGGTCATTCCCAACAGGCGTCCGACTCCAGCAGCCATATCAATCGATTGCTGCCCCTTTTCTCGTAGATGGTGCTGCCTCCCATCAGCGTTGCGTAGATTCGTTCTCCACTAGCAGCCTCATTGTCGCAGCATATCAGTGCCATTCCTCCACTAGACTCCTACAGACTATTCAATATGCTCGAGCCTTCTCTTGGATGCCAACCTCGTCTACAGTTCCGCCGACTATTGCTCCAGTTCTTCCTGAAATTGGTGGACCCTCGACTGCCTTCTCCGGTCTGACCTTCTCCAGCCAGCCAGGGGTTGCGCCACTGTCGCAGGTTCTGCCATCTTCTCTTCAAGGTTTTGGAAATACTCCAAGTTTTTTATCTTCTCTGGCATCTCAACTAGCCTTTTCTACTCCTAATGTGAATAATATTGTTACTACAAGATTATCGGCTGTTGAGGATTATTTGTCATGACGGACCCATTGCGGTAACGCCACCTACTGTGTCTCACAGTATCTCACAGTCTTTTAGGGATACTAGATGGGTCCATTGCGGTACTGCCACCTACTGTTTCTGATTTAGCTAGATGGGAGACACCTAATCCCGATTACCACCACTGGTTAAAAATTGATCAAACTTTGAGGTCCTTGCTTTTTGCTACTCTTACCTGGGATGTTTTAATGGCGGTTTATGACTTGAAGTTTTCACATCTTATTTGTGATAGACTTTAGAACCGTTTCATGTCTGCTTGTTTTTACCGATCCATAGAACTTAAACGCTTATTGTCTCATGTGAAAAAGGAATCCCAGACCATGGATCAATATTTGTTAGAAATTAAGCTTATGGCAGATGCACTGGCGGCTATTAATTCTCATGTGAGCAATAAAGATTTAATTGAGTATGTTATCCTTGGACTTGGTTGTGGTTATGAATCTTTTATAACAACTATTGATTACTTTCCAGGGAATGCGACCCTTGAAACCTTGAGGCCTATGCAACAAGCACAAGAGCAATGAAATGCTCTTCTCTGGACACAGGAGTCACCTAGGTGTTTGCCGCTACTCATTCTGGCGCACAAGCTCCTCCGAGCCGGGGTGGGTGCTCGTGGGGGTGGTCCTCCTCACGGTGCCGGTGTGCAAGGAAATCGTGGAGGTAGACCTCACAGCGGTCGAAGTCATGGAGGCTGGGGCTATTATTCTCCTCCTCCACCTCCTCCTCCTCCTCTTCTTTCTTTCCTTCTCTCCTTTTCATACTTTATCTTCACCATCTTCATCACCTTTATTCTTGTCTATGCACTGGGAAAATAAAAATGTTTGAGAGTTTGAAGAATCGCCGAAGAGTTGAACGGGCCCAGAATTTTTGTCTGTGTGACATATAAAATATTGTTTGTGTCATGTTAAAGAATGATATAACTTGTCTGTATGTAAAGAAAAACAAAACTGAAAACTTTTAACATTTTGTAAAATTTCACCATAGACAAAAAAATGTATGTATATAGACACCGGGTTTCTTTCAGTGTCAGTGTACACCACAACAAATGTTGTAAAAAGTCATGGTTAGGTTACACAAGAACAAATATGTGTGTACACATGAAAAAAATGTATAATAGCAGATTCTTTTGCGTTTGTATACATACAACTATGTTCGTGTATACAGACATTGGTTTCTGTGCAATCACCTTGATAAATATGGTGAAAATGTACGCTAATCAATGTGATTTACGCGCAAACCAATGTTTGTACACATACAATAGTTGTCGGTCTACAACAAATAATGTTTTTTGTGCACATACATCTTTTGTTGGTGTGTAACAGTTAGTTTGTGTACAAAGAAAACGTAACTCTGATATTAGTTGTCTATACAAACAAAAGTGTTTGTACTCATACATTTTCTGTCTGTGTGCAAAAACATTGGTTTCTCTGCAATCTACTCTTGTCTTTTCTGTAACTTTTTGTTATCTGTGTAGAAAGACACTGAAAGAAAACCAATGCCTATATACATACATTTGTCTATGCGAAATATTACAAAGTGTTATTGAGTTTTCCCTTTCATTTTTTCATACAAACAAATTATATTATTTTCGGTGATGTTGACTCCGGTTATTTTCTGACGACACTTCCGGTGACTACAACTCCGGTGAAAATGAAGTAGGTGAGATAAAAGATGACACAACATGAGATGGTGATGATGGAAGCTAATGAAGATAGAAGATGGATGAGATGGAAATGGTAAAGGTGAAAGGTTTTGGATACGGAGATGGTGAAGATGGAATTGAAGAAAAGGTGGAAAAGGAGATACGTATGGATGGAGAGAATGTCATGCCCCAGACCACATCTAAGCGAGTGTACAACCGCCGTACAATCAAGTGACGTCACCCGTGAGTCACACCCACTCGATTGTACAAGGCGTCAATGAATATCATTCATACCATACTCAGTAAGTAAACATACAGAACAACATAACAATATAGATTGATTGAATAGCGGAAATATTCAATAGTCAATCATGTGCCACATATGGCAAAACATGGACTCACAGGCCCAAAACAATGTCTTCATTACAAAATATCCATTAAAGTAGTTTCACTACAACAAAATAGACATTTTGTAACATTCACGAAATGTTACATTAGATAGTTAAAGTGTTACAAAAGGCTAAAGCCACACTTTTATTGGCGTTACTTCTCGTCTCGTTGGATAAAGTCTTATGCAACACATTTTATCATGTAATGCAACATTGAAGAGAAATGTTGCATATATAGGCCAAATGCAACACTTTTTTACTACACTTTACCGAACACCTTATGCAACGTTTTTGGAATTAACGCAACACTTTAAACAAGACTTTTGGCAACACTTTATAATATTTATGTAACATAAATATTATATGTTTTTGCAACATTGGTTTACATTATGCATCATTTTTACCAGCATTTTGCAACAATTTTTGGAAAGTAGTAAAACTTCTATAAAATTATAAGCAACATTATTTTCATGATTATGCAACATATATTCGGACTACGGTAATTCTTTTCTGTTTGCCCTTAATAAGTAACGGTTTTCAATGATTTTTCGTATTCTTACATGATTTTTAGTTTCACTGTGTATACAGTACACGTTTATAATTTAAAGATATTTTTAATACAAAACAATAATAGAAATATCAATATAATTATAATATGTAATCAGGTAATAATATCCCATACAACATATGGGCATATGGCTCAAAGAAAAATTTGAATTTAACGACAATCAACATCGTAAACCAATCCATCTTAAATTAATAATCTAACTCAAACAACTTTAACAAAAAGTACTTTACGATCTCAAAGTAGACATAGTTGCCCCAAAAGTAGAGTATTTGGAAAAATATTAAATTGCACTCCAAGGGGAAGGTCATCGGTGCATCACAATCTTTTCTACAAATTTTTCTTCCACCACTACCTGGTACCTGCAAAATAGAGAGAGACAAAAAATCAAAACTCAAACCCCTGATATTATCAAATTTATGGTTTTTTATATACAAATATTTGATGGAAAGATTGTTCTATGATAATACAGTCCAAGTAAAGCTGAATGTATTATAGCTGGGACTTCAAAATATAGATTAATAATATATACTATATCAAAGAAAAGAGGTATATAAGATTTGCTAGTGATCCAACAATTATTCTTGTGAGAAAAAATCAAAGTAATGAAGCACAAAATAGGAGTATAATGCATGCAATGCTCACCATCTTTCTCTGTATAAATATATCAGTTTAGCTACTTTAATCAATTGCACTTATTTGACAAACGACATCAAAGTTCATAAGCTTAGCACTCCAATGTGAGGTCATTGGTGCATCAAAATCTTCTCTACAAATTTTTCTTCCACCACCACTAGGTACCTGCAAAATAGAGATAGATACAGAAAATTCAAAACTCAAAACCCGATAAGATCAAATTTAAGGTTTATACAAATAAGGCTGAATGTATACAAATATAGCTTAATAGAATTATACACTATATCAAAGAAAAGAGGTACATTAGACTTGCTAGTGATCCAGTAATTATTCTTGTGAGAAAAAATCACATTAATGAAACACAAAATAGGAGTATAATGCATGTAATGTTTACCATCCCTCTCCGTATAAATATATCAGTTTAGCTACTGTAAACAATTGCACTTATTTGACAAACGACATCAAAGTTCATAAGCTTAGCACTCCAAGGTGAGGTCATTGAGTTGGTGCATCACAATCTTCTCTAGAATTTTTTCTTCCACCACCACCAGGTACCTGCAAAATAGAGATAGACACAAAAAAATCAAAAATCAAACCAGCGCCGGGCAGTCAACGGGTCGTTGACCGAATTGCCCAGGCGTTGTTGGCGCTGGTCTAATAGAGAACCAGCGCCGGTTAAGCTACGGGTTCCGATACCCGTTTTTGCTGAAAACGTGTATCGGGGCCCTGTTTGAAGTGGGTCAACCCGGGCTATCCTATATATGTATATTTTGCATTGAATTGCATGGAGTATGATGTTTAAATGCTAAAGCTTGATTTTTGATGATTAAAGGCTAAGGCTTGGTTTAGTCGTTAGTGATGATATGATATAGACCCTATCTAGTGTGATATGTGGTACGTCATAGGTCAGGTGGAGTACCCAGGGACCGAGTGTGTGCCCTCAAAACTCGGTTATGTTGGGTGGAGCACCTAGGGTGTAACACCCCGCCTTGTAGGGCCCGAGGTAGTTACTTATAGATACCCCTCAGACCTCTAGTAGTGTCCTCACAAACCGCCACTAGCCTTTTCCGCGCACTTTGTCCTCACTCGTGCGTGCCCTGAGAAACTTCCCAGGGGGTCACCCATTCCAAGACTACTCCCGTGCAAGCACGCTTAACTTTGGAGTTCTTGGCTAATGAACTCCCTTAAAGGAGATGCACCTTGTTGGTATGAGTAGTACTATCAATCCTTTTCAATTAAATTTCAAGTTTTACAATCACCCCCACTTAGGATCGCAACGTTCTCGTTGTGCCCAACAATCTCAAATCTCAATCAAATCCCAGAGTCCTCCCCCGCTAAGTGCCCGCCCGATATCCAACGGATCAGTACACTGTCGCAGGGTTGCTCAGATACCACCTGTAACACCCCGCCCCGTAGAGCCCGAGGTAGTTACTCATAGATACCCTTCAGACCTCTAGTACTATCCTCACAAACCGCCACAAGCCTTTTCCGCGCACTTTGTCCTCACTCGTGCGCGCCCTGAGAAACTTCCAGAGGGTCACCCATCCCAAGACTACTCCCGTGCAAGCATGCTTAACTTTGGAGTTCTTGGCTAATGAGCTCCCTTAAAAGGAGATGCACCTTGTTGGTATGAGTAGTACTATTAATCATTTTCAATTAAATTTCAAGTATTACACAGGGACCGGGCGTGCATCCTCAAAACTCGTTTCAGTCAGGTGGAGTACCCAGGGACCGGGTGTGTGTTCTAAAAACTTGGTTCTATCGGGTGGAGTACCTAGGTACTGGAAGTGTGTCCTCGAAACTCGGATATTAGGGGTGAAGTACCCAGGGTCAGACGATGCCTAAAACTTGATATTACCGGGAGAGTGGCCCAGTGACTGAGTAAAGATGTCATCATTCAGTTATATAATGAACCCTAGGTTATAGCGGGAAAGCTAAACAATGGGTCGGTTATGGGGAAAGTCAAGGACTAAGTCCACCATTTTTTTGATTTGATCAAATGGCCTACGGGTCAGATATTTTCCAAGCGTATATACTTGTATGTATTTCAAAGGCTTGAGGAAGGTTATAAAAGTATGTATCACCCTATGTTTGAGTCTTATATTTGAAATGTTAGTTATTCTACATTTAGCCTGCTACTCGCTCGCTATTCGTGTACTGACCCCTTCAGGGGGTCCACAATTGTAGGTTGAAGCTAATGCTTGCTATCCACACCTTTGCTCGGTGAAGTCATCTCAAGGAAGATGTGGTTTGCGCTTCTGAAGGAGTAAATCTAGAGATAAGTAGTATAATTGCTCTGTATTAATGATTTTTCAGAACCCCCACAACTACTCCCAAAGGGAGTATTTATAGGAAAAATTAGGGCTGGGCTCCCAAGTTTTGGGCTTGGGAGGCCCGTTTACAACTGGACCGCTATTGGGCCGAATAAAAAGTAAATGATAGAGTATACAAATGATTAAGTACAAAATCCTGTTCTGGGAGTCCTTCATGGCCGACGAGGGTCACGGCCGACGAGGACATGGCCGACGAAGACCCGGCCGATGAGGTCACCCGGTTCTTCTGGCTTCCGGATCATATTCTGGGTTTGACTTCGTTCCAGCCGATGAGGGTCATCTAGCCGACGAGG